GGACACATATGAAAGCAGCATGTGACAGCTAATAGGTTGCAGACTCTGACAGCCCACATTCAGAATTCTGCAGAAGCCTGATGTCAGACACACTGACTTGAGGGACTGCTGAAAGGCCACGCAGCCCACGGGTCTAGCTGCGCAGAGACATTCCTGTATGATGACAAAAGGACTGAGCTGGGATCCTTCAACAGGGTCCTCAAAGATGCTGCAGTGAGGAACCCTCCAAGGAAAGCTGTAGAAGCAACGCAAATGGGCATCTTTGGTATGGYCACTTTAATTACTATCCTGACAGTTGATTCCATTTCTGTGTTGAGCTTCCCTTTCTGTGTCACCTCAGACCCATTTTTTCTGCCTTGTTGCAACTTGTCTCCATTGCCTGTCTGCTTAACACACATGAACTTTATTAGACCAAACTTTATAGGCCAATAAAGTATCAGTAACATACCACATGTAGCTCCACATCTTTTGCTCTACTTGCCCAGCCCTTGTCTCTTTTCCTCCTGCTCTCTGTAGTTGACTTAAACTGTTGGCTCTGAGACAGGAACTTGCATCCTGTCTCAGAGGTCAGTGTGACTGTGCTTGCCCTCAAGTGGCTTTGCAATAAATGTACATAAAAATACCAAATACTGGAGCAATCTGTAAAGCTTGTTGAGCTGCAGTTGAAGTAATAAAGTGCACTGGGACATCTGAGCAGTGTCACAATTTGCACTACCCCAGAATCTAGGTGGCTGAACAGCCTGCTGTCTGGTCATTTCTCTCAGAAATTTTCATACAACCAAGTTTCATATTAAAAAAGCTTTTTCGCTCCCCTCGTATTTTGAAACACTTCCAAAAATACAATACTTTTACTGGGTCCTAGGACAGCAAAGAAATTCTGTGGCCCTTCAGCCTTACCCCTACATTCAGCTTATCCCCACATCAAGCATGACCACCATTTGGGCGCAAAGTCTTTTCTCTTTTGAGACAATTTAGTAACAAAAGGTTCATTTTGATCTAAATACATTAGACAGTGGGTTCTGTACTTGGGGTCTCTACAAAGCAAATAGAAATTTGGAGGTTTTTGTCTAGGGGGAGACAACAGAAGGGGGAAGGAAAACAGGGCAAAAAAAAGTTTGCAAGTTTTGAAAGCTTCCAGGGTATTGTCAGGCTATTGTAGAGAGGAAATATTTTGAGAAGAATTTGTGTTCACCCAAACTCCAGGTTTGTTTTCAAGTGTTTTATTATCTGTTAGAGTAAGATGGCAGCAATGCTATGAGGACACCTCCAGTGGAAGATACCTCAAAAATGAAAGAGAWCTTGCAAATCAGCACAGACCCTTGGAAAGAGGAGCATGTTAGACCACAGAGGAAAAGGATGAAAAGAATACAGGAGTACATACATTTACGAAGTCACCTCCTTGGATCATGAAATCCTTTATTACCCTAAAGAAGTAAAACAACACTTAGTTCTCAGTGGCCAAAGGCCCCAAGAAGGTCAGTGTAACGTGAAAATGGCTTCTTCTTTGCTGTGCAACAAAAGTTAATAGAATCTGTGATACTGTAGTCTAAAAGCTACAAATATTATTAATTAGTGGTTGATATGAGGTCATTTAGGGGTCATTGCTTTTGACCAGGGATAGTGATTAGGTGATAGATGCCATATCTCTGATGTGGCACACCAGGAACCGGGGATTCCTCCCAGTGACCCCAGCATACACACCTGACAGCATCCCCAGGTCCCCCAAAGTCACAGAATTACATTAGCCATGRCCCACAAATGTCTCCAACACCACCAATATGCCAAGCCAGGACACAAACCCCACCTGGCTCAGCCTGCTACTTAGTGTCTAAACAACAGTAGATGAATTACCTGTGGAAAGTGCTTCCTTTATAACCTATAGGGACACCATCTTTCCTGTAAGGAAGTAAAAAGGAAAATTATTGCAATTTACCAGATATCCCAACACAAAACCCTTCCAGAAATTCAGASTCCCAAAGGGTTGCCCTATACATTAGCAGCTGCCTTGAAATACAACCAAGTGCTACAGCTTCTCCGCTGCTGCTGTTGGAGGCAAAAAGAAGCCTCAAGTGGGCTCTGCACATGAAACTACAGTTCCCTGCAACACCCACACCATTATCTTCACAAGATCCCATTGCAATGAGCAGCATGAGCAGGTCTGCTTTGCATTCAGGGCTCTTTAGAGCCACCTGGGCACAAAAAAAGTCACATCAAAGGGGAAACCTGCCACCTCTGTGAGTCCCCAAGGCCCTCTTCAGAGCAGATTTCTATAACTCATCCATTTTATACTGGTACAATATGAAAAGGTTCAAGACAAACGCTTTGCAACTCACTCGGCCCTGTTTCTTCAGTGGGCCACTTAAATGACATTATAACCCACTTACCTGAATTCACCTGTACAAAACTGCCTGGCAAATAAAAAAAAAAGAGAGCAGAGTGTTAGGTGCAGGTGAACTCTGAGAACTACACCACTACAACTGGTGCACAGGACTTTCTTTATTGTGCTGGGGATGTCCCCAGCAAAACAGGAGCAGGAAATGGCAATGCCTTCCCCCTGCTATTTCAAAACATTTTCTGTGCTCTTTGTGGTCAGGAGGTCAGAGATTTAACACCAAGGTTGTAAGAGACAGACTGTGGGGCAGGCACCATGTTTGACAGAGATCAGGATATGTCCATCCCTCAAATAGAAGTGGGATTTCACATGGTRCATCCCTCAGTTGAGAATTGGGTGGCCAGGAGACCTCCACCATGGCACAAGGCCTGTTCTAAATGCACAGAACAGACCAGGAGGATYCACAGAGGAAGCAGAGGAGGACTGGACCCATTCCAGCCAGCCAGGGTCCCCTGAGAGACCAGGATGCCACACAGCATCTCTGAGAACAGAGAGACACAAAGCAGGTGAAGGAGTTCGGGTTGCATGTCAGCTAATCACTTCGCAATCAAAATATATTCCTGCACCAGAAAGCCCTTGCAGTTCCAGGCTGAGCTGTAGGAACACTAGCTTCACCTTACCTGAAGTTTTCTGCTGTTTTGGGTACAACATCAGCAAACAGCTCTATCTTCATGCGGCCGACCTCCTGAGGAAACGGGGGCCGGGTGAGTCTTCCAGGTCCCCTCATACACACACACACACACACATAGACCTGCACTCCCACAAATCCCGTCTCTTCGTTCACCTTCACCCCTTACACAGACAGCCCTGCTCCTCTGCCGTGCAAGCCCTACCGGACGGGTTCTATGAGCCCACAGCCCCGCTGTCCGTCTCCTGGCACTGCCCTTCCAGCGCTTCCAGCTGCGGCCCCTCAGGCCGCACGAAGAACCGCCGGCACCCYCACAACACCTCGGCACCCCCACAACACCCCGACTTATCACCCCCAATTATCCCCGCAGTCCCTCCCCCGGCACGGCTGCTCCTCGTCCCGGGACACTCGCACCTGTCCGCCGATGGTTACATCGAAGAAAACCACGGGGTTGTTGGGATTCGCCGCCAGCGCCGACATCGCGGCGGCCACAGCAGAAAGCGGAAACGGCGGAGGAAGCGGAAACGGTGAGGGGAGGAGAGATGGGGCGGGCGGGACACGGGGCGGGGATGGTGTGAGGGGTTTCTGTGAGGTGTTAGGGGTGATGGTGTGAGGGGTTTGTGCGAGGAGTGAGGGGTGATGGTGTGAGGGATTTCTGTGAGGTGTGAGGGGTGATGGTGTCCGGGATGTCTGTGAGGAGTGAGGGGTGATGGTGTGCGGGATTTCTGCGGGGTGTGAGGGGTGATGGTGTGAGGGATGTCTGTGAGGAGTGAGGGGTGATGGTGTCCGGGATATCTGCAAGGTGTGAGGGGTGATGGTGTGCGGGATCGTGCGAGGTGTGGGCAGTGATGGTGTCTGCGAGGTGTGAGGGCTGATGGTGTCCGGGATGTGTGTGAGGTGTGAGGGGTGATGGTGTGCGGGATTTCTGCGGGGTGTGAGGGGTGATGGTGTGCGGGATTTCTGTGAGCTGTGAGGTGTGAGGGGTGATGGTGTCCGGGATATCTGCAAGGTGTGAGGGGTGATGGTGTCCGGGATTGTGCGAGCTGTGAGGGGTGATGGTGTCCGGGATATCTGCAAGGTGTGAGGGTTGATGGTGTCCGGGATTGTGCGAGCTGTGGAAGGTGTGGCGGGTGTCCGGTTTGTGTCTGGGGTGTCCGTCTGGAGCTCCATCCTGCACGGACACCTCGGGGTCCGCACAGCAGAGCGCTGCTCGGCTGGGGAGCCCTGCCCATTCTYCTCTCTGCCCCCTGGGCACACACATGCCGGCTGAACATGAGCCCGATTGTGCCCAGATGGGCGAGGAGGCCAATGGTACGTGGGCTGTATCAGCCACAGTGTGGTGAGTGGTGCCAGGACAGTGACCATCCACCGGTGCTTCCACTCCTGGGTCAGTTTGGGTGCTTCACTACAAGAAAAACATTGCGGGGCTGGAGCATGTCCAGAGAAGAGAATGGAACTGGGGAGGGTCTGGAGCACAAGGAGCAGCAAAGGGAGCTGGGAAAGGGACTCAGCCTGGAGAAAAGGAGGCTCAGCTCCCCTGTGTGTGGTTCATGTTCTCCCAAGGGCAACATCCAGTGCAAGTGAGAACAAGGAAACCAAGCGACTGCAACTATGGACACTGACAGTCCCCATCAGCAGGGCTGTCTGGTTAAGCAGGTGGGTTTCTACTCTTTTCACTCGTTTTGCTGAAGAAATTTGGTTCCTGGCAGACTTGTGCAATGGAGTTTGATTTAAAAAGACAACATTCCACCTTGAAGATGATTCTGTAATGTCACACAAGCTGCAGTTTATATACCTTCTGGCCTATTTCTGAGCCATCCCAGACCTGAAATCAGTTTCTGAGGCAAAACCAAGACAAATGTTTAGGCATTTCTTCTCACAGAAAGTATAAAGCACTCATTTCCAAAGCCTGCTGTGAAACTCACTCCAAAATGAGGGAAGCATCCTCTTTGATATCCAGTGCCAGTGCTGCTGTGCCTGCTAGAAACCAAGTCCAGTGAGAAAGATGTTGGGAGTGGGGGATGTGAGCAGAAACAGGGTCCAGATGAGCACCCAAGTGCTGGGACTTTTCTTGACARCAATCATGTTCTGGTGACCTATGTAAAGACACTTCTTCACCAGCCTAGGAGAAAGGGAAGGATGATATCATATAAAACTCCCAGGAGAAATTATTTTATTTATTTAGCTATATGTATTGCATCTGCACAAACCAGTTCTTTGTGTCTTGTCTTCTTACCTTCTCAGGCACATATGACATAAAAAAAAACCATTTGCAAATCATGTAAAACTCACAGCAAAAGCCAGGCTACTGCTCTTCCCAATCATCTGGTCAACCAACAGTGTCTCTCTCCAGGACCTGCACACCGTGAGTGGCCTCAGTGTCCATATTCCATCTTTTTCATCTYCTKCTRTGTCTTCTCYTGTTTCCCTGGGCTCTSCTCTCTGCTGGGCACTCTTCTCAGTCACTCTCAATGCTCTTCACTGTAATTGTGCTTCTGGCAGATGTTACYCTAAAAGCACTGTCCTAGCCCAGTGATCTGCACCTATTCCTGTTCCCCTCGCTGCTGTTTGATGCATTTTTTGATCTTGCGGGCCGTTGGCTCCCTCCTGCTGTTAAACCCTGTTCCTGCAAGGGAAGTGACAGTGTCTCCTCCATGGTGCCTTACCTGCATCTCCCTGACCTGAACAGCTGGTGGGAACCATCGCAGCCCCTCCTGCTACAGGCTTGTCTCTGGGTGTGGAAGATGGTTCCTGAAGGAGAAGAGCAAAACTCACAGTAATGCCTTGGCAATGTTCTTCTGGTAGAGCTGATGGGAAGGCAGCACTCCAGGCTGCCAGCAAGGCAAGTTGGCAGCAAGTCCCAAGGCTAGTCCAGAGATRCTTTTGGGTAAAAGTGACATTTTCTCAGCTCCACAGCTTCTCTGGGCAACCCATGACAGTGCTTCACCACTCTCAGAGGGAAGAKTTTCTTYCCAGTGTCCCATCTAACCCTGCCCTGCATCAGTATGGTGCCATCCCCCTTTTCTTGTCACACCAGCTTGCTCCAAGTCCCTTTCCAACTCTTGGAGCCCCTTTAGGCACTGGAAGGGGCTCKTAGATCTTCCCAGAGCCTTCTCCAGGCTGGACATGCCCAGCTCTTTAGCTTGTCTCMAGAGCAGAGCTGCTCCAACCCTCAGAGCAGTTCCATGGCCTCTGGACAACAGGTCCATGTTCTTCCCATGCTGCAATGGTGAAAAGTGCCCGGCCTTTGCCAAGTGCTGTGCCAGCCCCGAGTGAGAAGCTGGGACACTCCTCAAGTCCTGGCAGTACCAAACTCCCCTGGCAAAGAATCAGCAGAAACACTCAGTTTTTGGCCAAACTATTTATTAGGGGATCAATGTGAGAAACAGAACCGGTAGTATCTGGCACAGTATGTCCTGTTGCAGCTCTGGCTGTGGTCTCCACCAGCAAGGCGCTGGGTTTTGGCAGCTGGGGTGCCTGAGGGTGAGGAAGAAGAAGGTCTCTTGCAAGCTCTGGGCTGCTGAAKTGTATGCAAGGGTTGTTGTGGGGTCTGAGTGGTGCTGGGGGTGCCACTGGCTCTGTGATAGGAGGAGCATGCTGAGTACTGCAGAGGCATCCCAGCCCAGCCTCCGGAGCCCATTCTCCACATCCCTGAAGGCTTGGGGTCGTGCCACATCACCAGAGCTCTCTGTGGTGAGAACAGGGAGGAAAGCATGGGCAGGGGGTGAGTGTTACCTCCTTTGTGGGGACCTCAGGCACCCAGGGAGATGGGGCACCAGGGACCCCAAGTATGTAAGGGACCTCAAGCCCCCTTTGTCCCAGAATCTCTGGGACCCTACAGCTCACCTTGGCACAGGATGAGCTGTAACATCTTTCAGGCAGGTTCTGTTCCATGATGCCACCAATGGCTGGGCTGCTATTGTGGTGGCTGTACTGCTTCACTCTGCTGGGTGACCCCAGCACAGTCAAGTGACCATCAGTGGGCTCTGTTTGTGGACACCAGTGATGCTGATRGTACTGGCTTCTACAGTGAGTGGGGCTGGGGGCTTGGCAGGTGACCTGCTGGTGCTTGTCACCAGTGTCCCTACCCGGCTCAGCCAGGCTGAGCCCATCCATCTGAGCAGTAGCCTTCTGGATGCCTCCCTGGCTGGCAGGGATGAAGGCACCTTTCTCTGTGCTGGGGAAAATCTCGGCTAAGCTGGAATCCTTACAGGATGCCCTCAGGTTTTCCTGGCTGAGCTGGTAGTACCGGGTGGCCCCAAAGCTGGCCTTCACCTCCTGCATGGAGATGAAGGGATGCTGAAGGGCAGCACTGGGTGTGATCCGCTCGTGTGAGTCCCAAGTGAGCATCCTCTTGACCAGCTCCACCATCTTGTACACATCACAGCGCTTGGCCAGCTCCTCCTCATCAGGATCAGACATCGGGCAGACATTCACCACTGCCAACTGATCCAGTGAGGAAAAGATATGCTCCCTCCTCTCCATCGGCTTTGCCATCAGCTTCCCTGGTGGTTTGAGCTGCCAGGTGCCAGCAGAACGTGGCACACGTTGGAAGAAGGATCGTGTCTTCTGGGCAGCGCAGAGCAGCTCACCCCGGGGTAGCCCCAAGGTGGAGCAGATGTAGCATACCTGGTCATATTCATCATTGCCAGGGTAGAGAGGCCAACCCAAGTGAAGCTCGGCCATCACGCATCCCAAAGACCAAACATCCACCTTCTCACAGAAGGGCAACCCCAGCAAGATCTCTGGWGCCCGGTAGAAGCGGGTTTGGATGTAGGGCTCCTGGACATGGCAGACCTCAGGGAGGAGGATRGCCGAGCCAAAGTCAACAAGCTTGATGCGGAACGGATAGCGTGGGTGATCTACCAACATGATGTTCTCTGGCTTAAGGTCAGCATGGATGATGGAGAGCTCCTTCAGCTTGACCAGCGCTACCAGCACCTGTGCTGTGATGGTACGGATGTGCTGGACAGGCAGTGGTGAGAAGTTGTTCTGCTTTTGGAAGTCAAAGAGGTTTTGCTGCAGCAGCTCAAAGACCAGGTAGGTCCAGACTGTGTCACTGAAAGACTCGAGGAAATGGATGATATGAGAGTCCTTCGTGTCCCCCTCCCGCAAGGCCTGCAGCAGCCTCAGTTCATTCTTCACTATTTGGCCATCGTGATCACAGTTCTTCAAGATCTTGATGGCCACCATCTCCCCAGTGCTCCTGCACTGCCCCTGGATCACCTGTCCAAAGGTCCCCTTCCCCACCATGGCCATTATGTCATAGCACTCAGCACCTACCACCAGTGTCACCATGGTGGGTTGGCTCCTCACTAGGGGCTCGAGATCCTCCAGTTCAGCACCCAGTGGGGACTGGAGACACCTCAGCCCAGCCTCACAACACTGCAGGTTCCAACATCACCATGACAACACATGCACAACAGAGGCAGCCKGGGTGGAAGAACCCCTTGAAACCCAACACTGGCCCCCCGGAATCCAGCCATGCTCTCCTCAAATCCATCCACAAATGCAAGAACACATACCTGGTCCCCCCAAAATGTATACCAACCCCCCTGAGAACTCATTTTCAGCCCCCTAACCCCTTTCCCTGGTCCACCAAAACCCATCCAARTCTTCCATGATGCATACACAGCCACACAAAAGCAATTTCTAGTCCTATAAACCCACTCTTTTTTCCCCGGAACCCATTCAAGCACCCAAGATCTATCCCCAATTCCTCAAAACCCATCCAAGATCCCCAAAACCTCTCCCTAGTCTCCCAAACCTATCTCAGCTCCTCATGATATACCCCCCAGTCCCAAATCTCCACCCAAATCAYCCATCCCAGGCCCCTCAAACCCAGGCCCAGCCCCTTTGAAATCCACCTGTTTCCCTAAAATACAGCCTAACTCCTTCCCCCACCTCAKTGCCAGCCCCAGAAAACCTGTCCTTGGCCCCCAAACCCCATGCCCCGACCTCACAGACTTTCTCATGACTTTTTTTGAGGAGTTAACATTTATTTCTGCCAAGCCAAGTGCAAGGAGCTATTAAGCACCTCCCCTGCTTGATAGCAAGACATGGAAAGTATGCACAAAATCTTTGAGCATACCCCAAAAAAAGATGGATATTTGGGGAGTAAGGGAGCCAAAGAGAGTTTGGGAGAGTAAGCGATGCTCCATCACTCCATCACCATTTTAGAGCATCACTAAAGATCTGCATGCTTGGCAATGGTGTTCATTGCTCACTGCAGAGCTGGGGGCAGKGCCAGCTTACACAGCTGGAATTTARGGRTCCCCTCACCCCTGAATCCACCGGGTGACTTCCATCATCACTGGCTGCTGGTTGAACTGGGGGCCCCTGGGGAAGAGCTCAACATTGGGTAACAGCATCTTCTTTCCCTTGTGTTGGGTGATGGGGGCTCCAGTGGGGACCTCCCCAAACAAGAAACCCACTCTGGGCATCCACTGCCAACACTGGACAATTCACTCTGCAGCCCTGTTGATGTTGGGCTGGGAGTTCTCCACCTTCCTTTTTTTCTCTTTCTCCTCCAGTTTCACCACTGCCACTGTCTTTGCACTGCCCACCCTCATCCTTCCCTTACCATCCAATCCACTCCCAACCAAAACGGCACCAATTTTTTGCAATTTGATTCTCGACCAGCATCCCAGAACYGTATCCTTCTTGGTGTTCTCCTCCATCATTCCATCGATCCCCAGTGGTGCAAATTCAGTACTGGTACCTTCAACATCTGCTTGTTGGTGGGTTTTGGCATCCTCTGGCTGCCTGGATCTTCTGTTYGTTGCACTGAGATGGTGGAGATGGTGAACCAGTGGGTTAATGGCTTCACCAGCTCATCTCCCATTATTGCCCTGGTTTTCAGGCTTCTTCCTTCCTGCTGTGCCAGTGATGGGGATGGGTAATTAAGGCATTACAAGGTGATGGAGTTGTAAGAAGGGCAAGGGAAAGACAGGTGTAAGGCAACGCAAGGCTAGAGTTTGAAAGACAAGGCAAGGGAAGGAAGGGCATGGGTGTGCAAGATGATGCAAAGCAAGGCAGGCAGGCAGGGCAGAGCAAGGCAAGAGCTGTATTTGTGATACAAAGGATTGGAGTGATGCACAGAAGGGCAAGGCAAGGGAATTGCAGGCACTTCAAGGCAAGGAAAGGGTAGGCAAGGGAAGACAGGGGTATGCAAGTGTGCGGGTTTGGGATAATTTAATGGGTGGGCGAACACTCCCAAGTTCCAGCAAGCCCCCCTGCCCCATCCGGGTCCTGGAAACAAATTTTCCACAGAGAAGAAAGAGAAAGAAAAGAACGTATTAATTTAACAAAACAGAATGATATGCCCACAAGGCATGAAAAAAAAAAAAAAAAAAAACCAAAAAAAAACCGGTGGAAACAGCTGTTGGATCTTAAAGTCTCCTTTTTCTCGGGAATGGCTGCCCCCTCCGAGGGGTCCCAGAGAGCTGGATGGAGTCAATTCAGTGGTTCACTGGAGGATTTTCTCACCTACCACCTCACGGGAATCTTCTGATTCTCAGATGAGAAAAGCAAGTTGAAAAAAAGGGTCCAAAGAAGAAGACAGAAAAGATACAATCCTGGAGAAAAAAAGCAGCTTCCTCACTGCCACCGAGCAGTTCACAGCCACCTGTGGAATGTGCGTAACTTGAACCTCCCCAGCACTATCCTTGAAGGGAGGAACTAAACAAACTGAGCCAGAGCAGCCTCAGCTAAAGTACAGTTACAGGAGGGTTATTTACCTTTCTCTGGGCATAAGCAGGCAATGGGAACACTCAGTTACCTGGGAGAGCAAGGAAGATAAGTGGAAGTGGAGGCATGCAAGGCAAGGCCAGAAAAAAAGGGAAAGGAAAAGTCAAGGTGAGGGATGGGTATGAAACATCATTCAAGTACGGGAGGTATAGGAAGGGACAGGCATGGTGGGAGTTTGGTTGGTAAGGAAATTGTAGGTTGGGGCAGGTAAGGCAAGTCCAAGGCATGGCAGGCAAGGCAAGAAAGTTGTAGTAAAGCCTTGATGAGGGATAGGTAGCCAAGGTACAAGTGGGCAATGCAAAGGAAGAAATGAAGAAGGTAAAGCAAGGCAGGACACTGGGGTGGTGGGGGAGTAAGGAAAGGCCACACCAAACTTCCACAAAGCAGAAATTTTCTATACATTTCCCTGAAAATGYGTGGTATTTCTCTYGTGAGYAGGGATGCCAGTTTGGTGGTCACTSCTGCAGATGTTAAGTAAAATAAAACYGTGTACTTTYATYATCATTTTGGTGGTAAGTTACATTTGATTTCTAATCAATAYTATTTATTTTRCTAGCTTTAATATAGGCMCCTTKATATTGTGYAGTGTTSTATGTTATGCTGTAATCTACTAGTAGCCCTTTTTMGTTTTATATTGTGYARTAACTCTGATTAAGAYCTCACATYTGTTATCTGTTTAATTAATAATTAATTGTGTAAGTAGACCTGATCTGCTATCCTTAGAACTTGAGGGCCATGGTGATTTCTAAAATGTAGATTGTTGCCTAAATTAAGACTAAGGCAGAGCTTGTCTGAAACTCCTACTTGTCCTGTGACATTACTCAAAGGCAAGATGGCAAATGATTTTAGGAAACAGAAAAAAAAAAAGAGGCACACCTACAAAGGCACAGTATTCATATTGAAACTTATGCCTCAGCCAAACATGTTGATGGTATATTAAAGTTGCTCTTGAAACAAAGAAAATCACTCAACAGCCATGAAATATCACTGTGAAGCAGGCATTCTTTATTTACAGGGCTGGGGTCRCACCATGAGTACTCCCAACCACTGGATSAATTAATGCAATTTATATTTACAAGGCTGTTACATATTCATTASACAGGAAAAGAAATCAGTAACAAACCACGCCTATTTAAAAAAAAAATTATTGTATGAACAGGAATTCACTATTTCAGAGTTTTTGCTGCCATCTACTGTCCTTTTGTAAGAACACAGTCCCTCTGCTGGTGTTCGGTGGTCATTCCAGTCTTCATCATTCATCCTTTAATTGAACTTTCTCAATTGGAGCATGYTCAGTCTCTGTTACCTTGTTTTCAAACTACAAAACTGTTTTTTTTTCTTGTTGTTATTTCTTTATCATCCTACATGGCTTACTTCTCAGCCTTGAAGGTTTGTGGTTGATTGGCTGCTTGTTTATTTTAAGAAAATATTTATCCTCTCTACTTACAAAGACATTACCTATTTGGTTATGTTTTTCCTGATTATTTGTTAGTTCCTAGTTAAATATAATCTACAGATCCGGTTTTGAAACCTTTCTGCCTTTATCTTTGTTATTCAGAAGGGCAAAAGGTCTTTTAAAAGCATTTTGTTAATTAGAGATTTAGCCACATACTGTGAGAACTCAGCAACTATCTTTCACTCTTAACAGTGAAACAGGAGTGGAACATTGGAACAGGAGTGGAAGTAGCAGAAAGAAAGAATAGGAAATACAATACACTGGTGGGAGAGCTGGAAGCTGTGTTGCTGTCAGTTAAGAAAGTGAGGGTGGTGTGTGTTGATTCTTGTGCAGTCTGTGCCACACTGTTTGTGTGCATTTGATTGGCAAGTGAAGGGAAAAGAGGTTTGACTCATTGGTTTCCCTGCAAATGTATGGGACCAGCTTGGCCATTACTCCTGTGGAGATYAAGTGAAAGGACACTGTGTACTTTATCATTGTTTTGGATGTAAGTTACATTTGATTTCTAATTGATACTATTTATTTTGCTGGCTTTGATATAGGTGTCTTGATATTGTGCACTGTTTCATGTTAAACTGTAATCTACTAGTATTTTTTTTAACTTAGTACTAGATAGTAAGTAACCCTGATTATCAAACATCTTTCATCTTTTATCGCCTGTCTGTTTAATTAATAATTAATTGTATTACTAAACCTGATCTGCCATCCTTAAAACTTGAGCCAGAGTGATTTCTAAAATGTTGATTGTTGCCAAAATCTAAGGTTAAGGCAGGGCTTGTCTGAAGCTCCAACTCATTCYATGACATGGGTCTGGCTGTTCTTGGCCTTCTGGGGACCCCCTCTCAGCTGACACTGACACACGGGGGCCTCGGGTGTTCTTTTCTGTATAAAAAAATCGTCTTTAACAGTTAAAAAAAATGCAAATGTGTGAGGATTGCTCCCAAAAGAAAGCTACCAGAACCAAGGGTCTGGCTGGCCTTAGATTCGCAGGGACCACCTCTTATCTACATTTGAGAMACATTTCCTTCCTGTGGACAAGCACCATCCTTCACAGCATGCACCCATGGAGGGAAGTGGGATTCTGCTTCCTAAA